TGACCTGCCAAAGAGCATCCCACCCGCATCCATTCCTCCCCGTAACCCTGCATATCCTATGGATAACGCACCTTACCTACACATCCCTGGACATAATGGACAATTTAGCATGGCCAATCCACCTAACCTGTGCATCTTTAGATTGTGGGAGGAAGCCGGAGCACCTGGCGGAAACCTACACAGACATGGAGAGAATGTGCAAACTCCACACAGACAGTTGCCTGAGGGTGGACTCAAACCTGGGTCCCTGGGGCTGTGAGGCAGCAGTGCTAACCACTGAGCTGCCATGCTTGTTTTGGGATTTTGCTGTGTGCTGACCTAGAATCCCTCTGTTCAGGATATGTTCGGAGTGAGACTATGCAATTGCCTTTATACAATGGTGTTCCTCAACATCAGTTGAACTGGCATGAGTGTCTATTTCCATCGGAATATCCTGTAACTCATATGTGACAAGTGGAGCATTTTCCAATGGTAAAGCCAGTTGTAGCACCTGTTTGAAGTCCAGTATGGCCTTCAGCTAGTAGGAATTTTTGCATAGTTACATCATTAATCCCACATATCAAAGTATCGCATTAAGGGTTAAACCAAAGTCATAGGCTTCTGCCAATTATCTTAACGTAGTCAAAAATCCTGATACAGATTCCCTGGTTCTCCCATTGCCAAGTAAAAACAACAGGGTTTCAGATTTAGAGGAGGCTTGGTGTCATAATATTCTTTAACTATGTCCATCAATTCTTGAAAGGTTTTAGTATCTGGTGCCTCAGGGAAAGTTAGGCTCCTAAATAAGAGAAAAGACTACAGCTTCACAGGCTATCAGGAGAATTATTAATTGTTTTTCATCTGCCACAATGTCATTTGCCTGGAAAAAAATAACACATTCTTTCCATGTACTGGGCCCAATCCTTGACATCAGGGTCGAATGAGTCAAGATTCCTAAACAAAGCCATGATATGAGAAATGCTTACCCCAACTCAAAGTCAACTGTTGCGAGCAAGTTTCTTCAGGGTTGTGCTTTACTCTCGTTGTCACTGAAATAGCTCCACAGGGGCTGGTATTCCATCACCAAGCCCCCTTTATTTACATATGAACAGTCCTTGACTTTACTCCTGTCTCTTCAGAGTTAGCTCTCAGAGTGGCAATATCTACGGCGGTCCCCTTATTTTTATGTCAGCCAGGACTCCCTGATTGGAGCTGTTTACCTGGTCCAATCAGAGAACTCATATTCTATGAAGTCCAGCTGGCTACCTCATTACAATCACTACAGTACATACTGTTGAAGCAGTTCATTGGAAAGTGGATATCTTAGGGGTGCCAATCAAGCAGGCTGCTTTGTCCTGGATAGTGTCAAGCTTGTTGGGAGCTGTACTAATTTAGGAAAATTGGGGGCGGGGGGCTATTACATCATATTCCTAATATGTGTCTTTAAAAGTCAGGAGGTGTGTTACTTACTGCAGAATCACAAAATCTCTATTCCTGGTTCTGTTTCTGGTCAAAGGTAACCCCCAGGAATTAGGGATTCAGTGATGGTAACACCACTGAATGTAAAGGACTTATGGTTAAATTCAACCTTGTTGAAGATGGTCATTGCCTTGTTCTTGCACATCACAAATACTATCCAGGTCTTCCTGCAAATGGACACAACTCCTTGGATACTGAAACACTCCATGACTGGTGCTGAACATTGTGCAATCATCAGAAAGCATCACCAATTCTGTCTCTGGAGTGCAAATCATTGAAGAGGCAGTTGAAGACGGTTGGTCCATAGACACTGCTGTGAGGATTTAGTGTAGCAAAATCCAGTGACTGGGATGATTGGCATTCAACCACCACAACCATCCTCTTTTGTGTTAGATATGACTCCAATTAATGGAGATTTTTGCCTTTAACTCCAGCTGACTCCAGTCTTGCTCAGGCTCCTTCTTGTCAAATGTAATCAAATGCTGCCTTGATAATAAAGGGCAGTTACTCTCACCTCACCTCTGGAGCTCAGTTCTTTTTTTCCATATTTAGACCAAGGCTATAATAAGGTCAGGAGCCGAGTGGCCCTGGTGGAATCTGCACTATCAGTGAGCAGATGATTGATGTGTAAGTGTAGTATTGTTGATGATACCATCCATCAGTTTGCTAATGATCAGGAGTAAACTGACAAAACAGTAATTTGCTGGATTAGGAAGCCCTACTTTTTTTGGGCTAAACATACCTGGACAATTTTTCATATGGTCAAGTGGATGCTAATACTGTTTTGGAATAGCTTGGTAAGGTTACAGCTAGTTCTGGAGAACAAGTCTTCAGACTTTTGTCAAAATGTTATCAAGGGCTCATAGGCTCTACAGTATCCAGTGCCTTCAACTGTTTCTTGATATCACATGGAATCAGCTGAGTTAGCTGAAGGCTGGCACCTGTACTTGTAGGTCCTTGGGAGGAGGCTGAGATATAGTGCATTTAAGAGTCAGTAGTCTAGTTAGGCACAGTGGGGTTGATTTTCATATATGAATGAGGTAGGATCTCAGAAAATAGCAATGCACCGTTTCCCTTCTCGCTCCTTCTGATTTATTATCAAATATGGGAGGGCAATTTCTGGACAGTGATATCTGGGGCTAGTTTTATTGACATTTATATATATCCAGAGATTAATATGTATGCTCACTGCCTTACATACATACAAAAGCTGCTGCTGGTCTACATATTTCTAAATGGGAAATATAAGGTGTCTATGCAGTGTGAGGAAAATGGTTTGCATTGAATTGTGTTGTGATCATGGCAGGCACTGTTACAGCTATTTAAGCCAGACATGACGAACGTACCCTAGGTTATTGTTGTCATATGTGCCAATGTGCATCTCCAAGAAAACTCTAATTGTCAACTCCTGACTTGAACATTGCCATCAGCACTGAGTTTTGTACATCACTATGTTGGGAGAAGGATCAAATTGATTATAAGATTAACTAGATCAGCCCTATGAGTACTGGCTATAAGAGTAGAAAAGAAGCTGTGCACTCTGTGCTCTGACCTCACAATACCGCTGAATCATCTGTTAGGCCCACATTTTCATTACACAATGGAAGCAAAACTCAGGATGCTCAATGGCATCTAAGACAGAACAGATTTGAGCTGCTACCATTGATCTCAATATCCGTGCTCTCTACAACCGTCACACTGGCTGCTCTATGGATTATTGGATGCATCGACGTAACTCATTTAAGTCTAATTCAAATATGCAAGGTGAATCTATGTCTTCTACTATTAAGAAGGGCAATAGCATAGAAAAACAGAAGCATAGAATCATAGAAGACAGGAGCAGGATTAGGCTATTCAACTCCTCAAATTTGTTTGACCATTCAATTTGATCATGGCTGATCATTGAGCTCAATACCCTAATCCTGCACTCCGCTGTATCTCTTTAGCCACAGGAGCAGCATCTACCTCTTTCTTGAAAACACAATGTTTGACCGCAACTACACTCTGTGGTAGTGAATTCCACAGACTCACCACTCTCTGGTAGAAGAAATTTCTCCTCATCTCAGTCCTAAAAGATTTACCCCTTATGCATCAGCTATGACCTCTGGTTCCGTACCCCATCATCAGGAATATCCTTCCTGCATTTAACGACTCAACTCAATCTTTCCTCATATGTCAATCCTACCATCCCAGGAATCAACTTGGTAAACTGTTGCTGCACTCCCTCCATAACAAGAACATTTTTCCTCAGATAGGGAAACCAAAACTGCAGACAGTATTCCAGGTGTGGCCTCATTAATGCCCTATGTAATTGCAGCAAGACATCCCTGTTCCTGTATTTGAATCCTTTTGCTGTGAAGGACAACATACAGTTGGCATTCTTTACTGCCTGCTGCACCTGCACACTTAGTTTCAGTGACAGGTGCACAGGACACCTAGGTCTCGTTGAACATTTTTCTCTCTCAATTTATAGCCATTCTAATAATTTTGCCTTCCTATTTTTGCTACAAAAATGGATAATCTCACATTTAACTACGTTATACTGCATCTGCCATGCATTTGCCCACTCACTTAGTTTGTCCGAATCACATTGCAAAGCAGTAACACCAGTAGCATTAACACCACGCAGGCGCCATTCCTGTAAACTCCCCCCCAAGTCAAACACTGTCCTGAAAAAAGCCTATATTGCTGCTCATTAATGTCCAGTGGATCAAAATCCTGGAATTCTCTACTAACATCATTGTGGAAGTGCTATCACCATGAAGACTGCAGCACAGCAAGAAGGTCTAGCACTTCATCTTAAGGCAATTGTAGATAGGTGATTTTATCCTCTTTCCAGTGTTGCCCACATCTGAAGACTAAATAACTAATAAGTGATAACTTATGCCAAACATCCCAAAGTATTTTATGGAATATTATCAAGCAAATTTGACACTGAGCATGCGTAAGGAGGTTTTAGAACAGGTGAGCAACAGCTGGAACAAAGATGTAGGTTCTTAAGAAAGTTGTGCATGAGTCGAGAATTGGAAAGAATTCTGGGTTTCAAGGCCTAGGCAGCCGAAGACATGGCTGCCAATGCTGGAGCAATTAAAATCAAGGATGTGCAAGTGGCCAGGATTGTATGAGCTCAGATAGGTCAGTGTGGGATAGGAAAGTTGTGGGACCAGACAATATTACAGGTAGATGGGTGAAACAAAGGATAAAAACTCTAAAATCAAGGGGTCCCAGACTATTAGGTCAGTAAGCACAGCAAAAATGTGTGAATGGAACTCAGTGTAAGTTAGAGACACTGGATAGCATAATTTTGCATGAGTTCATGTTATTGGAGATGAAAAATGGGATCACAGCAGGAGAACAGTGTGTCATGACGTAATGGGAAGAATGTGCTGGAAATCAAACCCTACTGTTCCATGAATCATAAGTGTGAATTCTGAGCAATTTAATCTGAATGTGACCACTATTCAAGATGAATGAAACTCATACTGGGTTTCATCAAAGAACAAGAAAACAGAAACTTATTTATTGTTACAACTTTAGCCTCTAACATGGCAAAATGTATTTTTAATTACAAATACGCAGACTTAAATTATACCCCTTTAAATCCAACATGCACACATCCATTCATAAACAGGTCAGGCAGGAGAGGTGAGTGTTCTTTCAAGAAAATTGAGGGTGCAAAATATTGGCAAAAAGGAACAAAGTCTGTGGTTGAGAGGTTCAACTCAAGAGAGGTAGAATTAAGTGACTTTCTCACGGGTCTTTTATTTTTGGTGATGCTATCAAGCTGTCGTCAACTGCGAAGATCCTCAATTCAGTCAATCCTTTGGACCTAGGTCTCGGTTTAAGTTGGAAAGTTTCTTCCTTTGCAAAGTCTTTGCATGTTATTCCTTTTCCACTCACAGTATCACGATTTTCAACAATTCAACAATTTTACGGCTTGAGGCACCTTCTTCCATGTCCTTACACCAACTCGCACATACCTGGCCTTGTTGTCACATGGTGCGCTATTATACATGACCCATTGTTAGCCATTAGTAGTCCCTATTAGTAGCTATTCATTCTCCTAGGCTAATCACTCCTTTGTCTGTTCAATTGTTCATCTTTCTCCTTGGGCTCTATCTCTACCCATCATTTAATCCTTATCCCCACCCCCATCCTATCTTCTGCATAAAAACAAACATTTTCCTAGCTACCATCAGTTCTGAGGAAGGGTCACTGGACCCAAAATGTTAACTCTGATTTTTCTCCACGGACGCTGCCAGACGGACTAAGCTAACATTTTGATTCTAATATGAATCTTGTTCAGAATTAAAGACTCGGAATGTCTTGCTCTCATCTACCAAATTACAATGTTTTATAACTCTGTCGTTTCCAAACGTTGTTATACATTCCATATACCTTCATCAAAGTTATTCTAAATACCCTGAAAAATGTATGGGTTACTCAGTTTGTTCAGAAAAATAAATCTTAAATTATTCTAAATAATACTAATTTTCAGAAAAATGTGATGCCTTTAAAAATTCATAAATAGTTGTGGTTATTCCCCAGGTTATGCAGGACCTCAGTATGACCAGGGAACCACCTCTATATATGTACAACAGGCTTCGGGCACGAGATACCCAGAATTTTGCAATGAAATTCCAAAGGCTCATTTTCTTTTCTCCAATGTGTGATTGCATGTTTGCAATCACTGCACTAAGTGGATAGAGGATGAAACACACCATCATTCCATTGAAACTCCCAGAAACAAAAGCAGAAATGCCACTAGGAACACCTTGATCCAAGAATAAATTCTTAATTGGGTCTTTGAAAGAAAAATAAAGGGCACTGCCTGTTCCATTCCTCAGCAGAATGGGGAGGAAGCCTCGATAGTACCCAAGTTGTAACTTATTTTTAAAGCTGTAAGAATTAAACTCCTTTAGGATACTATGGGTATTGGGAAACTTGACATCTTTCCTGTGGTCCTGAAGGATATTTTGGACACGTTCAAATGGGGTCAAGACCAATGCTTCGATGATTCCAGATAGGGATCCTGCAATGCAGCGATGGTACAAACGTGTATCCTCTGTCGAGATATTTCTAATGAGGCTATCGTAAGCACCAAACAGCAAGGTACCTTGGATGGTCTTGGCTAGGAGTGGAGGAAGAATTCCTCTGTAAAACTTGATAAGGCCTTCTTGACACAGTTGAGTGACAGCTTTTCGGATAATAAAACCATGGATTTGCTGTCGAAAAATTGTTTTGTGAATTGGAAACGTCAGAAATGTCGCAAGACAGCTAGAGGTAGCTCCGATTCCACAGTTCTTCAGTGAGTCTGCCACTGAGTCTTCAGAATCCTGCTGCATTTTCAATTTTTCTGTGTAGTATATTAAAAAGTATCAATATTCACTGCATAACTGTCTTCTTCACATACTATTTTCACTCAAAACAAGAAGAAAACATTGTTTGATAATACACATTGGTACATATATTGCATATTGCATAAGTAATGTTTTCTGTTCGTTAGATGAACTTAAACATAATCCTGGATAAATTTATTATCATAATCAAATTTAGTGAGGTTTGGTTGTTGTAAATGTAATTTTTTTTATTATCAACAGGCATCATCACATAATAGGTTTGGTAAACTCAGGTTTGTAAATGTATAGCAAAAGCAAGCTGCCTTTATTTTTATTTCATACACAAACATTCTAATTTATCACATTCTCCAACTCCTATACAGGCCAACATCTGTTTCATTCTTGCTTCATAATCAACCTTACTTTACAGACAGCCAATGGTCCCCAGTCGACTATCTCCCATACATGACTCTACCTATCCCAATTTGCATTGGCCAATAGAGCTCTCCAATTACAATTTCACCTTCTACTTTGAAGCTTCACAGCTTATCAGCTAGTTAGATGAAGCTCCTACTTGATCTCCTGTCCTGACTTAAGCTTCACCTTCAGTGTGCATAAAAATACTAAAACACACCTATTTTCTCCAAACCACTCAGGGCACTATAGCCACAATGAAAAATGATCAAGATCAAGCACACAGGTTGTGGCCATCATATACCTTTAACAGAATAAACAGGTGAGTTTGACTCAAGTTCCAAACCCCAAATATTCAATCATAAACATTACTGACATCTCTATAGCCTAAGTCCTCCTCTGTCATCTTGCACAGTGCCTATTCTTAATCTCAAGCATCTGAATTTTATTAACAAGTCACCTGTTCTATTAGTTCTCTCCTGTTCTATTTGTAATGTCTACTCCGTATTCCTCCTCCTAATGCTCTTTGCATCTAGGTAAACTAAGCAACAAGAACTGAAATTAATGGCTATCAAGGATATACAGGATTGGATAAAGAGAAAAAGGGAGGCTTCCAGCAGATATCAAGGACTGAAAACAGCAGAAGGCCAGGAGGAGAGTAGAATGTGCAAGAGGGAACTTGAAAGGAATATTATCTTAGCTAAAAAGGAATACCAATGGATACTGACAGGTAAAATAAATGAAACTCCCATGTTATTTTACAAGTCCAGTAATGGTAGAAGGATAACTAGGGAAACAGTAGGGTCTATTGAGAACCACAATAGTAGTTTGTGTGTGGAGCCAGAGGACATAGGTATGGTTCTAAAGTAAAATTTTGTGTTGGTGTTCACTAATGAGAGGGATGATGTGGGTATAGAAATCAGGGGAAACTATTAGGAATAATTCTGAGGGACAGAGTTCATTTCCACTTGGAGAGGCAGAACTTAATCATTCGACGTAGTCTTCTTGGACTTCAGCAAGGCCTTTGATAAAGCCCTGCTTGGGGGAAGTCATAGAATCCCTACAGTGTGGAAGCAGGCCCCCATTGAGTCCACACCACCCCTCTGAACAGCATCCCACCCAGACCCACTATCCCTGACTCCTGCATTTCCCAGGGCTAATCCACCTAACCTGCACACTATGGGCAATTTTAGAATGGCCAATCCACTGAATGCACAAACTCCACACAGTCACCCAAGGCTGGAATTGAACCTGGATCCCTGATGCTGTGAGGCAGTATTGCTAACTACTGAGCCATCGTGCCAGCCCAGACTGGTAGCAAAAGTGAGAGCCCATGAGATCTAAAGGATACTTGCCTTTATTAAGGTTAAAGTTTAAAAGTAGGGAGGTTATGCTGGACCTGTATAAAGGTCACAGCTAGAATATTGTGGATAGTTCTGAAATCCACATTTTAGCAGGGATATGATTGCATTGGAGAGGAGACTTAGCAGAGAGTAAATCTGGAACCTTTTAGTTAGAAGAGAGATTGCCTTGGAGGAGAGAAGATTCAGGGGGTGGAAGGTAGAATATGAATCATAGAATCCTTATAGGTGGAAGCTGACCCTTCAGCCCAATGAGTCCACACTGCCCCTCTGAACAGCATCCACACCCAGACCCAGCACCCCGACCCTGTATTCTACTCATCCCTGGACACTATGGCAATTTAGCACAGCCAATCCACCTAACCTGCACATCTTCGGACTGTGAGAGGGAACTTGGAGCAAACTCCTGCAGACACAGGGAGAATGTCCAATCTCCATCCAGACAGTCACTCAAGAGGTGAAACCGAACCAGAGTCCCTGGCACTGTGAGGCAATAATGTTAACTACTGAGCCACTGTGCTGTATGTGATTGAAATGTATAAAATAATGAAGGGCCTAAACAGGGTAGACAAGAAGGAACCTTTCCCCTTGATGGAGGGATCAATGACCAGGGACGTAGATCTAAGGTAATGGGTAGAGGTTTAGAGGAGATGAGGAAGAGCTTTTTCACCCAAACGGTGGTGGGAATCTGGAACTCACTCTCTGTAAGGGTGATGGAGGCAGAAATCCTCATAACATTTAAGAAATATTTAGATGTGCACTTGAGGTGCCAAGGCATACAAAGCTATGGGCTAAGTGCTGGAAAATGGTTTTAGGAAGGTTAGGTAGTTGCTGTTGACTGGTGCACTCAATGGGTCAAAGGTCACTTTTCAGTGCTGTAGACCCTCATGACTCTGCAGGCATCTGAGGAAATGAACAGGACTTATTCTGTGACATGCGATTTTCATGAATTGAAAGTCATGGTGACTAGAAAAAGGCAAGTTCCTAAAGAGCGTTGGGAGCAGTTATGTCTGAATTGAAAGCACCAAGCTTCGTGTTATCACCTTTAGAGTGATATCGTTTAGACAGCTCAAATGCTAATATGACCAATACGCAGATGTTTTTAAGTGGCTCTGCACGGTAATACTGGAGGCACAGGCTGTCTGCATTTCACCTTGTACATTATATCTCACTGAAAATAAACCCACCAGAGATCCTTAACAGAACGTCGTGTGTTAGATTTAAATAACACAAGATTATTATTATGATAAGTTACATATTTGCAGAGATCACTGACACTGATAAGGCAGAGGGAAGCTACGGTACAGAGAATATGGGGTCGGTAACTACAAGTCACCTATGAAGGGGCGGCGTTCAATTTCACCCTCGGACGACTGTCTGTACGGAGTTATCTCCCACAGTCCAAAGATGTGTGAGTTAGCTATGGGAAATGCGGGGGGGGGGGGGGGGGTCTGGGTCTGGGTCTGGGAGGGATGCTCTTCGGAGGGTCGATGTGCCGAATGGCCTGCTTCCTCACGGTAAGGATTTTAAGAAAAAGCCGACTGGCACAAAGCCGATGGTTCAGCCTGGATATACGTTTTCAAGTAGGTGGGGCGGTATGTCTTCAGACCCATTAAAAAGAAAATCGATGCTGCTCGTTTAACTAAATGAATTATACTTTTTATGCTACCAAATCCTACAAAACGGAGAAGAAAATTCGCTGCGATTGAAATGAAGTAGATAGAAAAAGCATTAAAAATCAATCCTAATCCACCAGTTTCTTTTTAAAATAAAACGATAGCCACTGTCGTAGAATTGGACCCAAGTATCCTTAAATTAAGTGGATGTTACAACCTGTAGGAGACAAAGGATTGATCAAATATTTTTGATGGACAACAAAGAACAAATTCGCCCAAATTCAATTTTCCAAAGCTGAAGCTTATGTTCTGAACTGTACCTTGCTTGAATTCGGCATTTAATGTTTGAGGATGCTGTTCTAAAATCGTTGACAGGTGCTATTATGAGTATTTTCGATTCCCCCTTGTTTTCCTATTAACCTTCACAGTTAATCTTTACATGATGAGAGCAGAACCACTCAGAGGACAGGTTCATTCACTCCAATTTTGATTGGGCTATTCTGTGGAGTGACAGCCCGGCTATGGCTCTGATTGAACGACAATCGGGCCGGAGATCGTGAGGTAATACGTGTAACATTGCGTTGTGAGATTATTCCTCTTCAGAAGGTTTTAAAAAATAGTTTGAGTTGTTGTTTTCACTGCGCCTCCCGAAAGCAACTGGAGCTTAATTAATAAATTGTATTTATTTTTCCTCTTCGTTGTACCTTCTATTCTAGTTGGGATGTGACAATCAGACGAAATCAAGAACACTGCCAAAACCACCATCAAATTGCGTTCATATACAATCGGGCTCTAAACGAAGAAAACCATTCCACAGGCAGGAGAGTGAGGCCATTCATCTCATTCTGCCCAAGAAAGCCAAAACACAACTATAACGCAAATGAAAATCATCGGTTATTTACACTTAAAGGTTGGAGAGGCCAGGTGAAATGTGCTCATAGCTTTATCTGATCTATATTGTAGAAACAAAAGATTTAGGACACCATTGTCGAACCCTGCAGCACTGCTGAAGTGCAGCTTTGAACTACCTACGATTCACCATCTGTAACGCATTGTTATTCCCATTGTTCTTAGTTTTAGCCTCGTGTAAGCTGCTACAGTCGTGCAATTTTTACCCTTGGGAATTCCAACTCTGATCTGGCTACTGGTTTTAGAAACTTCACACATTCCATCATTTTGGTTAATTTCTGATCTGTATTTGCAGGTTCTCAATTTTTTTCAGTTTAGTATTTAGATGCTCAAGCAATGTGCACATTCTTTAGTGAAACAGCAAAGGACAAAGAAATTAATTATAGGTACGATCTCTGAAAAAAGCCTGGGCTGTTTAAATTGTCTGTTCTAGCCTTAGGCGACAACAAGTACCATCATGGATGAAAACAAATAGTACAAGCATAAGCAGTTAGAAAAGGCACATTAGTATGAGGTAGAAAAGACAAAGTAACACCGAGAGTTCTAGTGAGAACATATATTTGGCACATCTACGTGTATAATGGTTGAGATTGTCCTGGCGCCGACTCATAGTTACTGCAGCAGAGGGGGATTTGGGTTCCTGATGGCATCTGCATCCAACGCAGATTCATGGAGGTGGTGGCAGAGGCAGGTTTGGGCTAGTGCAAAACCCTGTGATATTGGCAGCAGCCGCAAGGGCAAGATGGGCCCGAAGCATACTCACGGTAATGGCAGAATAGAGTATGGGCATGTGCGGTACGTGGCAGCATCTGCATTGGCAAGACCCAGCAAGGACTCAGTGGCAAGGGCGGTGGAGGCGTGATGGTGTCCAAGAGTGGCGACTTTCATTCCAGTGGCAACGTGGCGAAAGGGACTACTGTCTGGCCACTAGGACCAGGGGGAACACTCAACGAGGAGGACTTAGAAGTTGAATGCCTTTATATTCTATGTTTTGGCTTATTTTTCAGTGTTTTAAGATGGCATCAGAGAGTGGCAACACTATACAATGCTTTTCAGTATTTTGTAACAAAATATGCATGACCATAAATAATCCAAATCAACCACCACTGCAACACCCATTCCATTGAATGGAAGCAGAAACAATCATGTTTAAGAAATTCCTAGTCGCAATACCTACTTCTTCCCCTTTGATAACCTAAACCCTTGTTCCACACACTAAATTTCCCGGAATGTTCTGAAAATATCTTCATTTTCTTACCATCCCTTATAATGCTTTGAAATTGGAGCAAGGCTCAAAAAGGGTGAATAGTCTATCTCCTTATGCATTTCCTTTCTTGACTGGGGTTTGAAGATCATGAATTTTCCAATTAAATGAAAAGAGAAGCATTAAACAAACCTATACAAGTGCATATCCCGACCCACCACAATACATAGTAAACTATGATGTTAGCAACCACATTAAAATTTAAGATTCCATTTTCTGAAGAAAAATTGAGGCTCTGCTCACCAGACCATTTGGTGTGAAGTTAATTGTATGTTGGACACTGCAAACCACAAATTTGACCAGCAACAGAATGAAGCCCAGGAAACCAACTACTATTCCTACATTGGCTGTTTAAATCCAAATAGTAGAACTCCTTTAGGGCCAGCAAATGGAGGGAGCAGGTGAACCTTTGTTGGGCTTGCTGCTATAATGCATTTTAAGTGTAAAAGTCTAGTTTAAGTAACTTCAGGAAATATGTGGTTTATCTTGCCCTTTGCATTTGGTCATATCAGAAGTGGAACATATTTGCATACTTACACGTAGACAGCTTGTTAGATAATTCTCAAAGTCTTATTTTATGGCTTGATTCCAATGTCTTGAGTTCAAACTGCCCACACACCATCATGATACACTAGGCATTATCAGTTACTTACAACATTCCCATTTTGATCAATGTGTGCTGATCCCCTTGTTTGAAAAAGTAGTAGAAACTAGCTGTGCAAGGTTCTGCAGTATGGAAATGATGCCTCGCCTATTTCTTTGCTGGGGTACTTTCCACTATGCCAGAGGAAGTGTTATGCTTATCTAGAAAGGCTTTCAGTTGTCTGGCTTTAACCAATGTCAGAGTTAAACATTTACTTAGATATGGTTAGCTTCCTTTAATTCTAATATTAAAATGACATTATTCACAACAAAAACAGAAGTTTCTGGAAAAGCTCAGCAAGCCTGGCAGCATCCGTGAAGAAAAGATCGGAGTTAACGTTTCGGGTCCGGTGACCCTTCCTCAGAACTGACGGTGGCTGGGAAAATGTCAGTTTGTATGCAGAAAAAAAAGGGACGGGGGTAGGGCATGGAGTAAACAATAGGATACAGCCTAAAGAGAGAGAAGAGTAATTGTACAGACAAAGAGGCAACAGGTAGTTCAGAGATAACAGTGTGGAGCTGGAGGAACGCAGCAGGCCAGGCAGCATCAGAGGAGCAGGAAAGCTGACGTTTCGGGTTGGGACCCTTCTTCAGAAAAAAGAAGTTCTTGCTATTTCTGAACAGGTGGTTCAGGGATTTTTTTGCGAACAGAACTACCTGTTGCCTGCCACTTTAACACGCCACCCTGTTCTCTGGCCAACATCTCTGTCTCTGGCTTGCTGCAGTGTTCCAGCAAAGCTCAACGCAAGCTGGAAGAAGGACACCTCATTTTCCACTTGGGGACACTGCAGCCCTCCAGACTCAATATCAAATTCAATAATTTTAGGGCCTCAACTCTCCCATGTTCCAGCCCCCTACCCCACACACCAGGCCTTGTTACCACGTAGCCTGCCATTACACACTACCTGTTATTAGTCACTAATAGTCCCCATTAACAACTATTCACCCTCCCAGCCTGATGGTTGTCAACTCTGTCTGTCCAACTGCTCTTCTCTCTCTTTAGGCTCTATCCTATCGTTCACTCCCTACCCCACCCACTCGCTATTTTCTGCATTTAAACTGACATTTTCCCAGCCACTATCAGTTCTGAGGAAGGGTCACTGGACCCAAAATGTTAACTCTTTCCTCACAGATGCTGCCGGACCTGCTGAACTTATCCAGCAACTTTGTTTTTGTTCCTGATTTACAGCAGCTGCAGTTCTTTTGGTTTTTATTTAGCATTTATTGCGCATCCCTAATTGCCCAGAGGGCAGTTGAGTCAACCACATTGCTGTGGATCTGGAAACATGTGTAGGCCAGATCAAGTAAGGATGGCAGTTTCTTTCCCTAAAGATTCTTAGTAAACGAGATGGATTTTTCCAACAATCAATGAATTTACAGTCATTAAACTCTTAATTCCAGATTTTTAAAAATTGAATTCAAATTCCACCATCTGACATGGTGGGATTTGAACCCAGGTCTCCAGAACATTATCTAGGTCTCTGGCTTAACAGTCCAGCGATGATACCACTAGGCCATCACCTCCCAAAATATTCCAGCAGGAGCTCCTCTGCTTTTTCTTTTTTCTCTCTTCATTTTCTGAGTGTTTTTAAATAAGTAATGACTTGGACTTATCTGGAGCAGAATGGAGGAGCTAGCAAGCCCTGGAGGCTTCCCATGGGGGAAGCAGTCCTGAAGAAAACCTACCTTGGAGCAGCTGACAGCCAATGTGGAGTGGGCTTGAGGCTTAGAGTGGCGTGGGGCAAGGATGGTTGTTGGACTGGGGTCTGACAGGAATGGTGAGAACATGTGTTCAAAAACTTTCAACCCTCTGTGAAAAGAAATCCCTCATCTGTCTTAAGTTGGCATCCCTTAATTCCGAGACTATGCCCTCTGGTCTTAATTTCTCCTAGGAGGGGAAACATCTTCTCTGCATTTACCCTATCAAGCCCATTAAAGAATCCTACATATTTCAATCAGATCACCTCTCATTCTTCTGCATTCCAATGAGTCTCAACCTGTTAAACCTTTCATCATAAGACAATCCCTCCATTCTGGGATCGTCCTAGTGAACTTCTCTGATCTGCCTCTGATGAAATATCTTAAGAAAGATGACCAAACCTGCTTACATATTCCAGATGTGGTCTCTTCAGCACCTTGTACAGTTGCAAGTCTTCCCTCCTCTCCTCTAACCCCCTAGAAAGAAGGGCCAACATTCCACTTGTCTTCCTGATAAAACCCATTTAGTTCATTAATGTCCTTTGGGAAAGGAATCTGCCATTCTTACCCGGTCTGGCTTATATGGGACTCCAGACCTACAGCAATAAATGCTGGTATAACCAGCTACACACACATCCCATGAACAAAAAGAAAATCACCAACTGCACTTGTGTACTAGCTTTCTGCTTCATGCCCTAAGTTCCTTTGTGTTATAGCTTTCTCAGTTTAAATAATACTCTTTTGTTCTGTCATCCAAAATAAGCAACTCCACATTTGCCAGTGGTTAGCACTGCTGCCTCACAGCAGTTGGGACCCAGGTTCGATTCCATCCTTGGGCAACTGACTGTGTAGAGTTTGCACATTCTCCCCGTGTCTGCGTGGGTTTCCTCCCACAGTCTAAAGATGTGCAGGCTAGGTGGACTGGCCATGCTAAATTGCCCAAGTGTTCAGCAGGGATGTGTAGATTAGGTGGGTTATGCAAGATGAATCTGGGTGGGATACTCAGAGGGTCAGTGTGGACTTGTTGGGCCGAAGGGCCTGTTTTCACACTGTAGGGATTCTATGATTAATGGAGTATACAGTAACTAACTGAATTGTAAGAAACTCAGGACACATACGAACTCTTGCCCAAGGAATTTGTTGAAGGCACAAAAATCTTCCATGAATGGTAATGTGGTAAGACTTACTATGAAAGCTGAAACTACTAAATGAGAACTTGGTCAAGGTACTGAATGGGAACTGCTGCTCAGGATATTATGTCTCAAAATGTCACATGAGCAAGACAGAAGAGAACATTTAAAAAAGGTAAATCAAATTGTAGCTTTTTTTACATTATGACAATGAACACAGTAAAAGTGAAAATCAGAACACTTGCATGACAAACAGAACATCACACATTTATTGTAGCACATGATTGAACAAACATAAGCTCTTCAGCTTTTCTCCATATTGTAGAAAACAAGCTAAAAATGGAGTAACAATTGCAGACTTGAATTTGTAAAAATTGTCCCAATATAACTGTACAGGGTTCAACACCAAATTTATCAAGATAGCCTTAAAAAAATTCATTTTTATGCTCAGATCATGACATATGTTTGAATTGTATGTGTATATACGGCAACTCCAATCCAATGTTTAACCAAAGAACCCAAAAGCTACATTTCGCTCATGTGAGATAATGTAGCTCTATACGGCACTAAATCAGATTTTCCATGAATTACCACTGCTCACTCCAGACAGACAGTTCAGAATAGCATTAGCTAGTCCAAAACATACAAAACACTGGGGTCAATTGGGAGCAAAGCCCAGAATGAGCAACAATATCATCCAGAATATTGAATTATGCACAGGACAACCCTTCCCTATCCCTCCCTGTGATTCAAATGTTGTTTTAATAAATGAGTACATAAACAATGAATGTGAACCCTGTGTGCACAAATATAGAAAATATTTCAATTTCTTGCTCATATTCACAGTAGGGGAATGATGTGCAATTTCATCTAAAACAGTAAACAGAAGTTTCACCAAGTTCTGGAAATGCAATTTTTGTAGAATTTTATTTAGCAATCCCAACTCCACAACGTCACAACATAAATTTGCACGTGGACAAAGCTGAGACTTCCCACGTTTTCCCCATGACCTGCCTGAGTGCCAACTGGCTAAAATAATCCCGTTGTGTATGCTCTGGGCAACTGAGAAGTGGCTTAAAGGAGTCTCATTTCACATTACAGTCAAGCAGTAGGTAAATGAAAATGTTTATATCCTTGGTTGGAAGCTAGTCCCCATGCGTGCAAGCCAGCATTTTAACACTCCCAAAAAACATTTTCAATCATGCAACATTTACGAAATAGCATCTACAACCTTATGTCATTTGATGCTGTTGAACAAACAGCAACATCCAGAACAGAACCAGCATTCCAACAGAGACAATGTCTGTGAATTCTTTTTATAAAGCTTCAATGTACTGATTAAGCCTGGCCTTTTTGAGCAAAGACACCTGGAAACCTAAGTTAAGTTCATTCTACAGCTTCAATACCTATAGATTTCCACTATATTTAGAGATTAAGGAAAAAGCTGTTCATTTCAGGATGACATAATCTCCTCAGGTTTCTAACTTTGCAAGGGGAGTTGCAGAATAATTACCACAGTTGCAGTCTTCAAAATTCTGCACATGTCCATCTTAAGAAATGACTTTTCAAGTCTCCTTTAAAAAAAATTTCCAAGATATTCTCAACAAGATTTCACTCAAATGAGTTCTTCCAAGTTACATTACTACTAAAAATATACACCAGCATTATAGTTAACCATCAAACTAGGGGCAAAATCAATTTACTACTCTTCTGGATTATGTGCAAGCAATTGGACAGATTTAGTGTCTTTCTATCCACCCACAAGAGTGAGAACAAAACTACTCAAGAGTTGCAACTCAACTACATGAGGTCACAACTGTTGTTCTTAAATATATGGCTCATATATGTGTATGCAGAATAAGAAATATGTCAAATAAATCAAATTGCAACACTGATTAAATCTGTATTGGTTTATCCAGGTTATTTGAATTTGATGGAAATAAAGTACAATTCTCTACTCATTTCCCATAAGAAAAAAGTTCATTTGGTTTTAAATGAAACTGTTTTAGATCCAGGTTTAAGGGCAGATATACTGCCTCAAAAAGTTATATTCAGTAAGGTTCCAATTAATTTAAAGTTTCTTGGAAAGTCAGCTGAATCATCATCTTGCTGACTGAAAAGAGCTCAATCCAAACCAAGTACAACTCAGAAGGAACATACTGGTACCATGCATTAGTGGAATTATTCATAACTATTAAATTACTGTACAGTTAGTAAGGCATAAAACAGCATAAAACCAAGACAAAAATAATCTGTTCTTTCTCTATCAGTATACAGTTGAGCTGTTTCAGGTGGAAAATATACAGAACTTGATTAAATGTACTGTTGCAATGATAGAAACAAATTTTACAACATGAAAAAGCAGGGAATAAAAATGATTTAATACATTAATTTTTCCCTAACACACCAGCTCTATTCCAGTTTTGCCAAAATATTTGTAAGCACCTAGTAACAACCTGCTCCAAGTAAAACAGTGGCAAGCTTACACTGTGGCAGACATGTAGCAATCAATATTGCAACACAGAATATGGAAAAAAAATTAGGCTTTTTTTTTTAAAGGTAAATACCAGATATATATAGCCCTATATATCAAAAAATTTGTTAAGTTTCACACATATTAAACCCAATTATAGCTGCTGCTTTTAATTGGAAACATCTAACATACTGAAATGTCTACTCAATTTCAGTTCAGATAGAAGTGTACCACAATGTGAAGCAGAAGCAAAGAATACTTTTTAACTTTTTGGTTTGGCAGGTGCAACAGAAGGACTAGTGGGGAAAAAAAACAAATTTGGTAAAATAGCATGTACTGCAACAGCAGTGCACAGATATTACAATGGAACATGGCTGAACAGATAAGAGACAGATTCTCCATTGTGAGTTCTTCGAATTGCTTCAGCAAGGATCATGGAGATATCAATAACCTAAAAGAAAGAAACAAAATGATAATTCAATGTGTTGTGTATTGGAATACAGATGGATCAGTTTTTAATTTAGTCAACTACAAATTATGTGAGAAACCAGAAACAGGCATTATGTTAATTGAAATACAACTCAGACGAACTGCACTAGTTTGACAATCTTGAGAAAAAGAGTCGGGGGTAAATATACAACATTAAGCTTTACATTATTACAATTTGATGGCATTTACATCATGAAATTTATACTGCTCTCATTGTAGCTAGTAACTTATCCTCATAATAATAAAGTAAATTCAAATTTTACAGGACAGTTCGAGTCATTTGGCCCATGACACCCATGCTAGCTCTCAAACTGCTGTCCATGTAATACTATTCAATGCCCTTTCTCTTACATCGTTTTTCCTAAGCAGTTACCTGCTGCTTTTACAAGCTGTTGTGGAACTTGAAATGTAGGGTAACAGAAGGAGGAATAGGCAGAAAGAAAAGGAGTGAAAGGCTAGGCGTGAAGCAAACTGAGCAGAAATTGATGACAATATCTCTAATTGCTGAGTGCAATGGTCTGGAATTTCCTCCCCAATATTTTCTCTTCCAACATATTCCTTTGGACCATTTCCTTTAAAATATGGAATACTTCATTGAATTGCTTAAAAAGGAAATTCGCACTTCTGCAATACTTAGCACAGGGTCACATTAGGGCCTGATTCTGGATGAAGCAACTGCATAAAGTCACATCCTGAACGCAGAGAGGCTCAATCTTGTGAACATAGTGCACATTGACACCAAGTGATATTTCACTTTGGGATCTGTTTCAAGACAACTGCCGTAGCCAATGTGACATAAAGCTTGAATCTTGGCAGCCAACCATCAATAATTAGGTTGAAGCAGATCAGGAAGCATATGATATATAGAATGTACGGCACAGAAACTGACCACATCATTAGTTACGTTCGGTCAAGTTTCTTCCCATTCTTTCTCATTTATCAGTATCTCTCTCTAATCCTTCCTCCTAGGAGTAGATAGCTTCCCCTTAAATGCATTTACATGGTTTACTTTGACCATTCCAATAGGAGCAGGATCTGCATTCACGACTGTGTGCAAAAACGCTTATGAATTTAGTTTACGATTTCTTGGCGATTTATACTGACAGCCTCTAGTTTTGCTCTTCCCCTTAAATAAAGTCTCTGTAGATTTTATTTTTGCCATGATGGAGAGGGTCCCTCTTCACAGGGCACCTTGCCAGAATTCAAATCCACACACTGCCACTACATCACGCCCACCAAACTGCAGATGGAAAGTCTTTTGAAGATCAAGTTCACTCTCACCTTTGTGTACCTGACTTGAGAAAGAAAATCAGGGCCTGCATTTACTCTAATAAAATCTTTGGTAATTTTAAAAAGCTACTACTACTGGGTCACCCCTTCATATTATCTTTTTAAGAACCAGCCAGCAGTATTGACCACAGCCAGGTAAAAGCACCCCCCAATTCCCCATTGGCTCCAATTTTGCTAGGATTCCTTAATGACGCACGCCACATTGTTAATCTGAAATGGCAGCTACTCATTTCTGTTCTGAAATTTAGCTCTTCTGTCAATTTTTGATCCAAGGCTGCATTTAAATCAGGAGCCGAATGGCTGTGGCAGAACCAAAACAGAGCACTGGTTTTTGTTGAGCAGTGCTAGCACTTGATCGACAACACCTTAAAGCACCTTGCTAATAACAGACAGTGGACTGATTAGGTGCTGAATGGTCAGACTATACTTGCCTCGCTGTGGGATCAGGGTGACTAGGACAGTCTTCTACATTGTCACGTAGATACCAATACTGTAGCTATATTAGAACAGCTTGGCCAAGTCTGTAGCTTGTTCAGGAGCACAATGCTTCAATACTACAGCTATAACATTGTCAGGGCCCATAACCTTTGCAGTATCAAGTGACTACAGCTGTTTCTTGATATTATGTGCAACAAATGGTTTGGCTGAAGACTGGCTTCTGTGATTCTGGGGACCTCAGCAGGAGGCTGAAATGGATCATTCACCAGGCACATCTGGCTAAAGATGATTGCAAATGCTTCAATCCATTAGGCTAGAAAGAAGACCTGCGCACATAGTAGGAAATCCATTTCCTCTGTCCATCGATACAATAGGTAGCTAAAATCCACTATGATTATTTAATATTCTTTACTCTATTCCCTAATTTGTCTGTATATTTATTCCTCAACCTCACTTCCACTATTGTTGTTACTGATTCGTTATCCATGTCCACAAATTGTATTTTAGTCTTGTTTGTGGCAACATGTTACTCTAAATTTCCAGTTTTCCCTCTCTTTTGCAAATAACTTATTCCCTGCAATGTTTAATTCCCAGTTCTGGTTCTTCTGCAGCTCTCAGTCTCAGCATGATCTCTTGTCATTCACTCTACTTCTTCTCAGTGTTACTTAATCCTCCCAATTTAATGCTACCTACAAATTTAGAAAACATTAGCATTAAAAATACCAGTTGTTCCAGCAGTTGTTTTTTCACTTTGATAGGATTCTATAAATATTTGCGTATCATAAACAGTTCTTCCTTTATTTCAAAGGTGAATACAATAGTTGATGACCACCCTCCTGCAGCAAATAGAGGAAAATACTCAGCTATATAAACTAGAATACTTCCATAGATAAATGCTACTATTGGCCAAAAATCAGACAAAGAATGACTGGAAAATAAGCTTCAAACTCTGTTCCAAAACAGTTTTAAGGGAAGTACGAAGGGAATTTTCTCTTGATACTGCATCAGAGTTCCTCCCTGTTGCAGAAAAGCTCATTCTTAACATACCTGTATTTTGGGACAATGTTTCATCTTATCCTCTTGAGGTATTGTGTTGGTGACCACCACTGCTTCAAAACAGGCATTGTTGATACGGGAGATAGCAGGACCAGAGAAGATTCCGTGTGTGAGGATTGCATAGACTTTGGTTGCTCCAGCAGAAAGTAGCCTATGATGCACAGATAAATCAAAAACTAAGCTCCTTTCCTCTCACCAACTGCAGCATTTCATTTCTAATTTTTGATGTGTCAGTAACTGCTTGGAAAAACATGCACAATTACAAATTAAACAGAACATTGGAGAGTTCAATTAAGTTACTCATTACTTTTAAACAACCTAAGTCTATGCTTCTCTCCTACTTCTCAAACCAAAGCAACTCAAATTACTGAGTTTTACAGATCAGCACTATAGCCAGTCTTGAGAAGAATACTGAAATTAAGTTCAACTGACAGTAGTGGGAACAAAAAGAAAAGAGGCTGTTTATTGAGGAAATTTGTCAGAAATTGGCCATAGTTTGCTTCCCAGCATTCTATAGGACTTTGGAACCAACTTTAAAAAACTTCAAAATGAAACAATGCAGTGAAGGCACTCGAATATATTAAAGGCAAATCAGACTACACAATGGGTCCATGTCAACCTAAGACTTAAATGATTTGTTTTGGCCACACTGTAGATTTGTAAACAGCATATGAAAACAAACAAACTGCAACTTCTAGGATGTGTGGGTGTGCACCCTGGAAATACTAATTCTAAGAATAGTTTAATTACAGTGAAGGTCTATTCTTGATGATGGTGGTAAAATAGAATATTTCTCAATGGACCACTTTCATGTTATATGTTGCATCAAAAGTAGGAGGAATTTGCAAACAGGACAGCAACTTAAGAGGTCAACTGCAGGAGGAATTGATCATTGGCTTACACGGGAATGTACTCCTGAAAAATCAACATGGTGGGTGCAGTTTGGAAGTCAAAGTAATAATACTTATACATATTGATTTTACTTGAAGGGAATAGGATTCTAATGTTTCTAAGTTACCAGTAGCACAAGAAAACTTAAAGAATAATGGGGATATACAGACTTGCAAGCCTTGACCATTTTCTCCACTTCAAGTTCAGATCAGACCTTCAAGTTAAAAGGGAAGGTGTAGGCTCACCTACCTACAGTACATTATTTGCAGAACTATTGCTATGCAAGTTAGCTGGGCAGCTCAAAACAATATTTGCAGTGCTGTTACAATATATCTCCTGTATTACAGTCAAAGGAAGTTGCTCACTGCAAGTACACCTTCAAATATTGGCCTAATTTTCTGACAGCCAGACAGTCTTTATTCCAGCATAAATGGGAGATGTGCACGGTGCCCCTGTGAATTCCCATTGCAGCATACTCGGAAGGAATTGCCTGGGAAATTGAGGATTCCATTGGGAGTTCCCAAATGCTCTGGAAGTCTCCATTTAATAGCAGATAATTCAAACGGTTCTGACAAAATTAAGCAACTAGTTACTATTTGCTATTAAGGTGCTAGTCAGCAGACCTCATACTTACCTCAGACCCACAAGTACATCTCCTCCAAACTCTGGCCCAACACCCCTCCCTTGGCCTCTGGGCCAGAACAGACACTCTACTCCTTCACAACATTGGACCTGGCACCAGACTGTACTGGACCAGACCAAAGATCACCTCCCTGCCCCTGGAACATTCCAATGTTATTGGATCCACCTTCCAATGGCTGAATTGGATCCAACCCAACTGCCCCAGCACTCTGCTGGACCCAACGTGACCCCCAATGCCTACCCTGCCCTGGACCCGATTTCTCCTACCCCACCCATACCTACCTTAAGCAATGCATCACTTGCCTAGCCCCCTGCAAACTGCATCCTGCCCACTTCCCACTTGGCAGCTGGCACCATAATATCACAGTTACCTTAGGTAATTGTTATTTGACAGCAGCTGTCAAGACCTTTACATTTCAGAAAATGACAGCTGAGTCTTGTGAAAAGGGGGCATGGTTTGCCTTTCCCTGACATCTGTCAGAATTGAAATACGGGTCCACAGTTTTGAAGGAACCCTGATCAGAATCTTCTCCCAGAAATTTCATAAAAATGGGCCGAAGTGGCAATTGGCAGAAAATTTGTCTCATTAATAATCACAACAGAAGTGCTGAAATGGAGATCACTTGTTTAGAGTAATTAAAGGCTGTCTTTGTGAACACTGCTACAAAACAGAAACAGATCAAAGATGAGATTGATATTGTTAGTGCAACAAGCACATTTAAAAAAAGGGGAGTTTGTTTCCTTTAAAGGTGAGGTTGCTATAAGAGGTGTTCTTTTAGGTTCTGCAATTCAGCAACTCACTTGTCTGCAGCATGGCAAATTGTACCACAAGTATCGGCCATATCATCAACAAGGATTGCTACGCGGTCCTTCACATCACCAACCAGAACCATTCGGTCAACTTCATTGGCTTTTTTACGCTCTTTATGAATCAGTGCGAAATCTACATTCAGCCGATCAGCAATAGATGTAACTCTAAAAGCAAAAAAGGAGAAAACAGAATACATTTGATGTGCATGTGCTCTGCCTTGCTTAAATGACAGAACACGTACAAACTATGAACAAGTTATGAATACTACATCTTTATGGCTTTTTGCCCTCACCCAGCCTTCAAATTCCTGGTTATCATAATAATTGGATACGAATGTTGGTATAATTTAGGAATGGCTTGAAAGAATAAGCACTGGGAAAACAGAAGTCATGCAACTGGACTGTAAATTTAATACAGAGACCCTCACTAACAAGTCAGGCTTGATGACTCTGCTTTGTTTAAAATTTGGGCTGACTTCACACTATTCAAAAAACTGTGGAACAAGGACGCTAAAATTTGTTTATTATTTGATGTAAAGAAAATGAGCAGTGATGTTACAATGTGAGAAAACAAATTCAGTTAGCAGTCAGAATTTAAAAACACAGGCTTGTCATGGCTGAAATGAAAAGGCCACAGCCCTGGCTGATTTGAAAATTGCAAATTTAACACCTAACTTCAAGAAAGGAAGAATACAGAAAACTGTGGGTTAGACAGTCTAACATCTACCATTAGGAAAGTGCTATGATACATTACTAAAGGGCTATATAGATAATGGTCTGCTTGTACAGTGGTTGAGCATTACTGAAAAAGACATTTTGTCCAAGCTTTTTGTCATACACCCATCAGGACAGTTTGCAAAAATACTAACTCAAGGGGAAAACCAAAACTTGCACTGCATGAGGAGAGTGTCGACTGGTTGGCCACTGAACTCTGATTTGTAAAGGCATTGCCATGGCGAATGCACCAATTAATGACGACTGATCAGGACACTGTCTGAGAAATGAACCAGTGAATGGCGATTATCCATTTTGCTGATTTGAAACAGGTGCAGTCTGTACGTGGTCTTTTTGTTGACAAAGACAAGGCCCTATGTATAAACATATGTAGCTTCTGGTACACACAAGTGCACCCCACAGAGACTTCAGTTTTTGAGTTTGACTTAGATTTATTGTTGTCAAACGTACTGAGATACAGTGAAAAGTGTTGCTTCGTGTGCTATACCATACAAAATGCATCAGGGTAGCAAAACAGAGTGCAGAGTACAGTGGCAGAGAAGGTGCAGACAGAAAAGTCAAAATTAACATTTGGCAGGCCTGTTTAAAAGTCTGATGACAGTGGGGAAGAAGCTGTTCTTAAAAGAGTTTGTACATGTATTCAAAATTTTATATTTTCTGCCTGACAGAAGAGGTTGGAAGAGAGTATAACCTGGGTGGGAGGGGGTCTTTGATTGGGAAGTATAGATGGATTATGGAAGGCTGGTTTGTGTGACAGACTGAGGGGGCACAACTCTCCGCAGTATACTCCCATTATTTGTTGGTGTGTTTCTATGAGCACTCAGGATTATCCAACAAATGTACTATTCAACACCGTATCTCTTCCAACAAGCAAGGTAGAATGGGTAGAAGATTGCGCAATCAGGAACCTTCCTGTTCTGAGGAAGGGCCACTCGACCCGAAATGTTAGCCCGGATTTCCCTGCATAGATGCTGCCAGACCTGCTGAATATTCTCTCCAAGCACATTAATCAGTGGAATTCTCTTCTTTAGCAGTCTAGCTGATTGAATATATTCAAAGGATAAGTCAGACAGATTTTTGACTCCCGAGGAACTCAAGGGATATGAAGAAATCAGGCAGTAAAGTGGAGTTAAGGCTACGACCAGGTTAGCTATAATTTTACTGAATGGCAGAGCAGCCTCAATAGACCAAATGGCCTTCTCCTGCTCCTATTTCTCATGATCCTATAATTATTGTCTGTCGAATAAAGGAGTGAGATTGGATGAAAGAGAGATAATTGAGTCAATAATTAGGTCTTCAAACATCGAAGATCAAAAGATGAAAGGATCTTTCACTAATAGTCTGGAAAAACATGATTCTGAACTGTTCTTTTACATACAATTTACTGCCCAATAAACATTTCAGAGTAAAGAAAACAGCAAGCGGGGATAAGGGGTTCTTCAGGTTGACAATAGAGCTCCACAGGGATAATTGCTGGGACTGCAACTCTTTACAATATATAATTAATGACTTACAGAGTCATAGAACTAGACACCACGGAAACAGACCTCTTGGTCCAACTTGTCCGTGTCGATCAGATATCCTAAACTGATCGAGTCTCATTTGCCAGCATTTGGCCCATATCCCTCTAAACCCTTCCCATTCATGTAACTATCCAGATGCTTTTTAAATGTTGCAATTGTACCAGCCTCCACCACTTCATCTGGCAGCCTGTTCCATACATACAGCACCATCTGTGTGAAAAAGCTGCCCCTCAGGTGCATTTTAAATCTTTTTCCTTTCACCTTAAATCTATGCCCACTAGTTTTGGACTCCCCTACCCTGGCAAAAAGACCTTGGCTATTCACCCTTCTCATGGCCCTTACGATTTTATTAACCTCCAAGGTCACTCCTCAGCCTCCAACAGTTGGGGCAGAGAAAAAGCCCCAGCCTATTCAGCCTCTCCCCATAGCTCAAACTCTCCAATCCTGGCAACATCCTTGTAAATCTTTTCCGAACCATTTCAAGTTTAGCAACATCTTTGCTATAGAAGGGAGACCAGAACTGAACGCAGTATTCTACAAGTGGCCTAATCAATGTCCTGCAAGCCACAACATGACATCCCAACTCCTATATTCACTGTTCTGATCAATGAAGGCAAGCGTGCCAAATGCCTTCTTCACCACCCTGTCAACCTGCAATTCCACTTTCAAGGAACTATTCACCTGCACCCTTAGGTCTCTTTCTTTGTTCAGCAACACGCCCCATTCAGTGTAAAAGTCTTGCCCTAATTTGCCTTACCAAAATGCAACACATCACATTGATTTAAATTAAACTCCACCTGCTACTCCTCAGTAGATTGGCTCATCTGATCAAGGTCTTGTTTTATTCCGAGATAGCCTACTGTCCACTACACCACCAATTTTGGTGTCATCTGAAAACTTAAGAACCATACCTCTTATGCTCACATCCAAATCATTTACATAAATGATGAAAACTAGTGGAACGAGCACCAATCTTTGCGGTACACTACTGGTCATAGGCCTCCAGTCTGATAAACAATACTCCACCACCATCCTCTGTCTCCTACCTTCAAGCCAATTTTGTAAACAATTGGTTAGCTCGCCCTGGATTCTATGTGATGTAACCTTGCTAAAGTCTATCGTGCAGAATGTTGTCAAACGCCTTGCTGAAGTCCATAAATACAATGTCTACTGCTTTACTTTTATTCAATCTTCTCTGTCATTTCTTCAAAAAAAAAAGAATGCATGTGCAGCCCTTTGTTTTATGTTAACACTAACCAACCCTTGTTTTAGTTTAATATTGCTTTTCATTAAATTTTATATTGAATGTAACTGTTTGCAGCTTTATCCTGTTTTAAAGGAATCTTGAACTAACTGAAAAAAAACTCAATCAAGTAAGAGACGTGATTTTCCATGCACAAAGCCGTGTTGACTATCCAGAATCAGTCCTTGCCCTTCCGAAAGCATGCAAATCCTGTCCCTCAGATGAAATTTGCAGACGACACAAAAATAGGTGACAAGGCTGGTTGCGAGAATACAAACAGTTTATACAGAGATACTGAGTGGTTATGTGGGCAAAAAGTTGGTAAATGGAATATAATGGGGGAAAATGTCAAGCTGTTCATTTTGAAAGAGAGCGCACTTGGGGCTATTTATCACGAAACACAGAGAGCTAGCATATGCGAGCAGCAGGGTAATCAAAGCAGCTAATGGAATGCTGGCTGTTAATTTGGGGGCGTGGGGGTGGACAGTAGAAGAGTAGGTAAGTCTTACTGCAATTGTAGAAGATGCTGGAGAGACCACATTTGGAGTACTGTGAACAGTTTTGGTTCCTTTATTTAATGAAAGATATGATTTCATTGCAGGTGGTTCAGAAAAGGCTGCCTAGGATGATCCCTGGTTTAAAGGAATTGTCTTATGACCAAAGGTTAAATAGGTTGCGACTCTACTCGCTGGAGTTTAGAAGAGCAAGAGGTGACCTCATTGAAACATATAGGATTCTTAAGGGACTTGACAGGGTAAATGTTGATAAGATGTTTCCCCTCATGGGAAGGTCTAGGACCAGAGGGTGTAGTCTCAGAATTATGGGGTACCAATTTAAATTTGAGATGAAGAACTTCTTTTCTCAGAAGCTAAAGAATCTTTGAAATATCTTGCCACACACACAGTTGTAGGAACAGAATCCTTATGTATGTTTAATGGTGAGATAGATTCTTGATGAGTAGGGGAATCAAGGGTTATGGGGAAAAGGCAGGAAAGTGGATGTGAGAAATGTCAAGATCAGCCATGACCCTACTGAATGATGGAGCAGGTTAGATGGGCTAAATGGCCTAACTCCTGTTCCTATTTCTTATTGTCTAAGGGCTCCATCTGACTGCCTTTCTAAAATATAAAGACATTACAGAATGACCAGTATGTTTCCCAGCCTAAATAAGCATATGACCACATTCGCTTGAAGAAATATTCACATCATACAACTGAAATGCAAATCTATTGTGATTAGTCAGTAGCTTTTCTGAATTTAGGAGAGAATTATTATTGTAGCACGAAAATGGTCCTGCAATTCAATTTTGGTGGAACATTGACAAGTTTTCCAGACTTGTTGACCAGATGTCTTTTTAAGAAAAGTTTAAAGGGCACGAAGACTACAATTACAACAAAACATGAACTTAACCTTTCTATTTAATTAATTTCAAAACTAGTTCAAAAGCTCTTAAAACTGAGCCACCTTAGTTCAAGATTCCTTTAAAAGAGGATAAAGCTGCAAACAGTTACATTCAATATAAAATTTAATGAAAAGCAATATTAAATTAAAACAAGGGTTGGTTAGTGTTAACATAAAACAAAGGGCTGCACATGCATTCTGATGACGGGCCATCGGACTTGAAATATTAACTGTCTTTCTTTCCATGGATGCTGCCAGACCACCCGAGTTTCTCCAACATGTTCTGTTGTTGTTTGATACTTCCCCGTTAATGTCAAAGAGAATCCTTTCCACAATGGCAAGGAAACCACAAAGGGATGTATAATTAATCACACTGTTCTGATACTGAGAATTTTACACTCCTCAATGTTGAAAGTTCTACCTGTAATTTTATCTTTTGCAATCTTCTGACCACCTACCTTTTGGCTCCGCCAGCGTCTGGAGACACTATGATGCCATTTTTCCATTCTGGAATATTCTCCTTAATCCACTTTAGTACTGCTGGTTCAGCATACAAGTTATCTACTGGGATATCAAAGAAACCCTGTGGGACAAGAGTCAATGGAATTTGGTGTAATACAAGCATATACAACAGGGACTAGGAAGTTTTTAATCCTGTAATTAGAGAAAACATGCAAGATACTTCCATAAAAAGTGTTAACTGGCATGACATAATAATAAATTGACAAAAAAAAATCATAATGACACACAGTTGTCATTCTACTTAAAATGTTCCAAATTTCTCCAGTTCTAAAAAAAATACAGATCCACACTGGGTTATGGGTGTTGGTCACTCCTCTTCCACTTTGTGATAACTGTCTGGGGCATTCAATTCCCCATGCACTATGTACACATTCTAGTCCTGATCACTGGAAGATTAGAATATATAAAACTTGTGCAGGAACAACCAGCAATGGCAGATCAGCAGAACACATTAAGAAAGTAGAGCATTTAAAAGCAGCTCGAAAGAAAGGGGAATATACTCAAAGTTTGACATCACAGGAAAGAAAGTAAGCAATTGTTTGGTGAGATTTTATTTTCTTCTCAAAACAGCACACTGACTTAGAAAACTACAAGACCTAGGAACAGTAGACAGAAGGTTACAAACTACAAATCAGAATAATTAAAACAGTAAGCACACAAACCAATCGCAGATTTTATTAGATTGCACTAGAGTTTGACAAGTATAGTGAGGTGTACTTGATTTTATCATCGGAATCGACGGTGTAGTGGCGTATTGCTGCTCTACCAGAGATCCAGACACGCAGGCAATGCTTTTGGGCCTTAGATAAAAATCCCATCACAGCAGATGGTGTAATTAGAGCTCAATTAAAAAGATGATGGAATTAAAATATCTAATGATGACTGTGAAACCATTAACAATCATCTCAAAAATTCAAACCGAAAGAACTGCAGATGCTGTAAATCAGAAACGAAAACAAAGTTGCTGGAAAAGCTCAGCAGGTCTGGCAGCATCTGTGGAGGAGAAAACAGAGTTAACGTTTCGGGTCCGGTGACCCTTCCTCAGAACAGTCAACCACATCAACTTGGTTGACACTCAACTGACCTCAAACAGCTTAACAAGCTACTCAGTTGTATTAAAGTGTTACAAAGGTCTCAAAGGAGCCTCCAAAATGTCCACCTTCTTCCTCAACCAAGGATTCCCCAGCACTGTTGTTGACAGGGCCCTAAACCAGGTCTGACCAGCTCCTGCATTTCTGCCCTCAAACCCCTCTTCCATCCTGCAACAGTGATAGGATTCACCCATGTCCTTATTTACTATCCCACCAGCATCCACATCCAAAAGATAATCAGACGGCATTTCTGCCACCTCCAGCAAGATGCCACTACCAGACACACATTCCCCTCCACTCGCTTGTCTGCTTTCAGCAGGAATCATTGCCGCTGGGACACCCTGGTCCACTCTTTCTTCACCAACAACACCCACAGCACCTTCCCCTGCAACAGGCAAAGGTGTAACACCTGCCCATTTACCTCCTCCCTCCCCACTATCCAAGGGCCCAAACATACCTTCCATGTGAAGCAACACTTCACTTGCACTTCCCAGAAACTAGTCTACTGCTTTCGCTGCTCATAATGTGGTCTCCTCTACATTAGGGAAAACGAAGCATTGACTGGGTGACACTTCGCAGAACACCTAAGTTCTGCTTGCAAAATAGACCTAGCTTCCAGTTGCCTGCCACTTTAACACACCATCCTGTTCCCTGGCCAACATCTCTGTCTCAGGCTTGCTGCAGCATTCCAGTGAAGCTCAGTGCAAGCTAGATGAACAATACCTCATTTTCCACTTGGGGACTCTGCAGCCTTCCGGACTCAATATCAAGTTCAATGATTTTAGGGCCTAAACTCTCCCATGTCCTAGTTCCCTAACCCATACACCAGGCCTTGTTGTCACACAGCCTGCCATTACACACTACCTGTTGTTAGTCACTAACAGTCCCCATTAACAGCTATTCACCCTCCTAGCCAGATCGTTATCAACTCCTTTGTTTATTCAACTGCTCTTCTCTTGCTTTGGGCTCTATCCTTTATCCTACCATTTACTTCCTATCTTCTGTACCTAAACAGATATTTTCCTAGCTACCATCAATTCTGAGGAAGGGTCACTGGACCCAAAATGTTAACTTTTGATTTTTATTCTTTACAGTTACTGCCAGACCCGCTGAGCTTTTCCAGCAACTTCTGTTTTTGTTCCTCAAAGGACCAAAACTGAACAGATCACCCAACATCAACCTAGGCACCGGAAACAAAAAGTTGCATTCATAAGCGAGTGCAGAGAATTCTCAATGTTGACTATAGACCAGTAAGTCAAACATGGGCAAGGCAATCTTCTGCCAATTACCACCTACTGCACCCCCTCAGTATTCCATGCTCGAGTACTTCTGGGAAGCGTCGACGATGGCAAAACTCAATGTAAAATGCCTCACCCAGAGTACAATGTTCACCACTAAGAGTGGCTTGATAGCACCACTACTCACCGAGCTGGTCAAGTCATAAAAGACGTAACTGTTGAGGTAGCAAACAAGAAAGTGAACAGCATGCTAACCAATCTGCCTGCTGCAGATGCTATCTGTCCATGACAGTATTGGTATGTCCTGTCCTAAACTGAGGATTATCTCCTGTAATTTGTTACACTACCACCATGCTAAATTGGGTAGACTTCACAAAAACATCCAATAATTCAAGTCTGGGCATCCACAAAGCACTGTCAGTGACTGCTTCCTGAATATCCACATCGTCAAATGATGGGGCAACCCAACATATCAGTGCAAAAACTACTGAAGCTCCCGAGCATCACACGTGCTAGCCTCTCTTCAGCTAATTCAATTATTCCATTGATATCAAGAAGCAGTTGCAAGCACTCGATACTGCAGAGGTTTGGGGACTGACAATATTCCAGAAATAGTACTGAAGACTTCTGCTTCAGGACTAGCTGCGCCCTTGGCCAAGCACTACAGCTACAACATTTATCCAGCAATGTAGAAAACTGCCTAGGTTCATCCTGTATATAAAAAGGACAAACCCCAATAGTCTACTTTCCATCATCAGTTAAGCGATAGGAGGTGTCATCAACACTGCCATCAAGCGGCACTTACTTAGCAATAAACTTACATTTAAGTTTGGGTTCAGCCAGAGCCACTCAGCTCCTGATCTCATTACAACCTTGGACAAACATGGATTAAAGTGCTGAATTCCTAAAAATGAAGCAAGAGTGATAGAATTCAACATTAAGGCACCATTTTACTGAGTTGAGCATCAAGGAATCTTAGTAGAACCACAGCCAATGGGAATCTCTCCACTGACTGGATTCGTACATAGCACAAAAGATGATTGCCATGATTATTGGAAGTCAGTCATGTCAGCTCTAAAACATTGTTGCAGGATTTCCTGAGGCTAGTGTCCTAGGCCCAACCATCTCCAGCCGCTTCATCATGACCTTCCTTCTATCATAAGGTCAGAAATTGCAATGTTTGCTGATGGCTACACAATGTTCAGGAATCCTCAGACACTGAAACAGTCCATGTCCAAATGCAGCAAGACCCGGACAATATCCAGATTTGTGCTGAAAAGTGACAAGTAACATTCACACCACACAAGTGTCAGGTAATGACCATCCCTATTAAAAAAAAACTAACCATTACCCAATGACATTCAATGGCATTACCACTGCTGAAGTCCTCATTATCAACTTCTTGGGACCTACCATTGACACTAAAGTAAACCATTGTTTAGTAAAACATTGGCCACAACAACAGATCAAAGGGTAAGAATCATGAAGCAAATAGTCACCTCCTGACACCCTAAAACCTGTTCTGAATTGATACTCCAATCACACATAAAATACGTAACTGTTGAGGTAGCAAACAAGAACGTGAACAGCATGCTTACCAATCCGCCTGCTGCAGATGCTATCTGTCCATGACAGTATTGGTATGTCCTGTCCTAAACTGAGGATTATCTCTTGTAATCTGTTACATAGGAATACCATTGCATACAAATTCTCCTCCAAGCCACTCACCATCCTGACTTGAAATGTATCACTATTTCCCTGATTATTGCTGGATCAAAATCCTGGAACTCCCTCCCTTAACGTCATTTTGAGTCTACAGACACCAAATCGACTGCAGTGATTCAAGGCAGCAGCTCAACGCCACTTTCCCGACAGCAGTTAGGGATGCATAATAAATACTAGCCCAACCAGCAAAGCCCACATCCTTCGAATACGCAAAAAAAAAAATCAAAAGGATTAAATTAAGACTATAGACCAGGGTGTATAACTAAATTCGTTAAACTAAACAAATTTTTATTTATTTTTAATATGGATCAGAGTGATACTTCAAACTAATTCCGCTTTCAAGTTTAAACGAAATACAATAGAGATGACATAGTTTGGACAGATGTTTTGCAGCAGGAGAACGAGTAAGATGATGGACACCAGTGATCCAAAACATCTATAGCAAATGTTTGCAGGTCAAGATAATAATAGTTTAGAGTGGATAAACTTAAGTTCAAGCTTCAGACATGTATCAGAGAAAAACTATCTGGATGCTTTGTTCCAGCCCCTTTAGGTTCAGCACTTGAGATGTAGTCCCTAATCAGAGACAGGAAGGTGTTCAGGAATGAGGTAGGTATAAGGATGCAGAATTTAACACTGGAGGAGCCTCAGCCTAGTAATTACCCAACAGCAATGTGGTACAAGAAGCTACTGAAGTGGGGCAGTGACAAAGTATGCAGCCGAGCTAGGGGACATATTAGGGGGAATAGATATCCTTCTCTGAAGCTGAGAAGAGTGAGTCCTGAAAACCATACTGCCTGCCCACTGCAAGGTTAGCGTCATCTCCTTGGGGTTAAAGAGGAACTTGAGGTAAAAGGAAAGACTTGAATATCATGGTCCACACGGGTACCAAGGCCACAGACAGAATTAAGAAAAAGAGAGTGGTGTATTTTTTTTGAACTTAGTCCCCAAGATAAACAAATCTGAGAAAAGAGCAACCAGGTATAGGGCAAATAAGGTCAAAGTTGAATGCATGGCTCAAAGGTTTCTGTGGGAATATAGGATTTAAATTCATGGGGCACTGGCACCTGTCCGGGGAAACAGTGAGAGATACCACTGGGATGGACAACACATGAATCAATTTAAACTTAATAGGGTGGAGAGAAGAGAGATGGGGACAGTTGCACGTTTGTTGGGCTTAGGTGAAGAGAAATTATAAAATGTAAAGATAAAGGCAAGGTAATAGGGCAGGGAAATGATATGGATGATGATAATCAAGAATCTGACAGAAAGGAACAAAACACATTGTTTTTACTGTGCTTTCATATTTATAACACAGCATTTGTGACGAGGTAAACTGATGGCACAATTAGATGGGGATGATTAGGTAACAATTACATTGCTGGAGTTGAAAAGTTACCAATGTTCAATGGTATTTGACATTTTGGAAGAGTAGCTAGTTAGCTTAATTGCCAAAGGACAAGATTAATTTGACCTTGGCCTGGAAGATTAATATATATCTAGGATCAGCTTGAGTGAAAATTAGAAATAACATAGGAGAGAAGCATAAGGAGGGACCTAGTGTGAAGGTCCCCTAATTATAGCTACATTATAGGACGGAGTATAAATCAAGAAATACTAGAGGCTTACTCAACTGTACTGAAAAATAATGGACAATTTCACATAGAGTGACTTAATCAAACTGATAGTCAGCCTTGAGGGAGAGCTTAGACAATGTGTTAGAGAAAATATCCTGAGTAATGTCTTACTAAACAAACTATGGCACAGTATATTTAAGATCTGATTAGCTGTAATGAAACAAGAACAATTAATATTCTCAAAGGATTCTCTAGGCAAAAGTGACCATAACATGATGAATTTCACATTCAGTGCTAGAGTGAGAAATCTGGGTCTAACATTAAAGATTTAAAAACTCATATAAAGGCAATTAAAAAGGAATGAGTTGGTTAAATTAGGCTGTGAAAACATGTTAATAAAAACCAAAAGAACTGCAGATGCTGTAAATCAGGAACAAGAACAGAAGTTGCTGGAAAAGCTCAGCAGATCTGGCAGCTTGTGAAGAAAAAAAATCAGGGTTCACGTTTCGGGTCCGGTAACCCTTTTTCAGAACAGAATTGATCCTGTTTGATAACCCCTAATCAGATCTTAAATATGTTGTGCCATAATTTGTTCCATAACATATTACTCAGGATATTTTCTCTAACGCACTGTCTAAGCTCTCCCTCCGGACTGACTTTATCAGCTTGATTAAGTCACTCTATATGAAATTGTGCATTATTTTTCTGTACAGTTGTATAAGCCCCTAGTATTTCTTGATTTATACTCTATCCTATAATGTAGCTATCGTTAGGGGGCCTACACACTAGGTCCCTCCGTATACTTCTCTCTCATGTTATTTCTAATTTTCACTCAAGCTGATCTTAAATATATATTAATCTTCCGGGCCAAGGTCAAACTAATCTTGCCTTTCGGCAGAGTTCTGAGGAAGGGTCACCAAGCCTGAAACATTAACCGTGATATGTTCTGCCAGATACTGCTGAGCTTTTCCAGCAACTTCTGTTTTTGTTAAACGTGTTGATAAGGTAATACAGAAGAAAACCATGGTAACCATTCAAGGTTCTACTGCGGAACAAAGACAAAATTGAACAAAAAGGCATATAATGTTGCAAGGGTTTGTAGTAAACCATAAAATCAATGCTTTCCAAATTTTACAGAAATAATGATTAAAAGAGTGGTAAACAGAACATAAAGTTACAAGAAATACAAAACCAAATGGTACCAAGAGTCTGCACTGAAAGAGAAAGTAACTTTGAAGACACTAATAGCTTTTCAAATATAGTGGAATATCAAAAGGACAAAAGGAAAGAAGACACATATTAATTATTTTACCTGTAGAAAAAAAAGCTAGGTTAATTAATGGGACCAATGGCCATCCAGTTCCATGGATCAGATAACCTATATACCAGTGTCTTAAAAGAACTGGCTGCAGAGATATATTGGAAGCACAGCTAGTAAAGCTTTGAACATTCTCTAGATTCTGGAAAGGTCGCAGTAGATTGGTAAACTGCAAGTGTAATGCTCTTAATCATAATGAGAGGGAGACACAAAGCAGGGAAAGAGACACAAATTTCAGCAATTTTGTAATGACATTATTAAACAAACAATAGAAAATAGAAAAAGCATATAGAAAATCATAATTTAATGAGACAGAGTCATTCTGTTTTTTTGTGAAAGGAAAATTGGTGTTTGTCAAAATTCAGTGGCAGAGAGGTTGAGGCCAACATTAGATGTTTTAGGTTCATGGTGCAGGCTTGAGGGGCCAAACTGTTTACTCCTCTTATGTCTTATGTTTTCAAATGGAGGAACATTGGCCTGTTACCACTGATGTTTATAAAAATTATTCTTGGACAGACTCAACATAAAAGAACCTGGTCACTGTCCTTTAACACTACTAAATGAGGTTATGCAGAATTGTAGCAATGGTGATTTACAGGTTTTATATAGGTAGTTTAATATTTATTTATTTATTTATTTCTGTATGATTACCTTTAATTGGAAAGTAAAATAATAAGATTTGCTTCAGCGAGTTTCAAGACTTTGTGCAAGATTTTAGATCATTAATTTTAACTCTCTGCTTTGGTCCTGAAACATCATTAGTAATACAATATTGTACTCACTGATAAGCACATTGAGTTGTGACATTAGTTTGTTGCTGTGAAAAGAAAACTGCAATAAAATCGAATAGTTTTAGAAAACTAGATGCATTTTATACCCATATTGTCCCAATAAAAAAAATGTACCCATCTATCCAAATATAGCAGAGCTTCTCACCTGTATTTGAGATGCATGCAGATCCATGGTGATAATGTGATCTGCCCCAGCCACAGACAGCATGTTAGCAACCAATTTTGCTGAAATAGGAGCTCGACTCTGAAAGCAAGACCAATTGAGTATTATAATCAAATCTCAGGCACTGGTATACAAATTGCAAAAACAATTTTGATATGTTTTAAACATCCTATCCAAAAATATTTTTGGCATTTATTTCATAAAGTGTATGTTTTAGATATTTCATTACAACATTCTCAAGAAATTATAAAGAAAGTTTATTTTAGTTTCCTGTTCAACTGTAAGTGCCATTATTGGGAGTCTTATACCAATTGGTAACCTCAAAGTTTTACCATGACTGAGAAAAATAGTTAAAACCTTAGGAGTATATTGCTATGAAAAGGGAAAAAAGCTACTTCACCGCCCATGCCATGCACTTTTTTACACGATAGCTATGTCATTCTCCCCCAAAGCCTGTCTTCCACTATACGGCTCAAATGGTACAAACCATGTTGTATTCCACCTTTAACTATCTAACTGTAGACAAGAGCATCATCAGAGGCTTTTCTTCACCTTGTGTAGTTACTTTTGGAGTTCGAGACCCTTATGCCTCATCATTTAATGGAAATAAGGCTGATTACTGACCAACTTGCAATTGCCCATATGCCTTATGATATTTGGCTACAAAAGTTCTTTTTGAAAAACAAAGTCTCAAAATTCTACTAGCTTTGTGTGGAAAACTGTTTCCTATTCCACTCCTGAACGGTTTGAATAATTATGGTCCTTTGTGTTAGATTCACCAATGACCAGAAGTTGTTTCTCACAATCCAAGCAATCTGTTCCCCTTTTACTGTGAATACTTCAATCAAATCAAGGAATACAATTCTAGCTTGTTTTAACTTCACCTTGTATCTTAACCCTGGAGTACGAGTGTCATTCTGGTAAATCTACAGTGCTTTCAATTGAAGGTCAACACAGCTTTCTTAACATTTGATGCTCAGACCTGCTTGCTCCTGGTAATGTCTGCCAGTACTGTCCACAGCTAAAATAGGATTTCTACCCAGCTGTACTGTAGCATTCAGAGATAGTAGGAACTGCAGAATCTGAGATAACAAGGTGTAGAGCTGGATGAACACAGCAGGCCAAGCAGCATCAGAGGAGCAGGAAGGCTGACATTTCGGGCCTAGACCCTTCTTCAGAAATGGGGGAGGGGAAGGGGGTTCTGAAATAAATAGGGAGAGAGGGGGAGGCGGATAGAAGATGGATAGAGGAGAAGATAGGTGGAGAGGAGACAGACAGGTCAAAGAGGCGGGGATGGAGCCAGTAAAGGCGAGTGTAGGTGGAGGGGTAGGGAAGAGATAGGTCAGTCCAGGGAGGACGGACAGGTCAAGGGGGCGGGACGAGGTTAGTAGGTAGGAGATGGGGGTGGGGCTTGAGGTGGGAGGAGGGGATAGGTGGGAGGAAGGACAGGTTAGGGAGGCGGGGACGAGCTGGGCTGGTTTTGGGATGCGGTAGGGGGAGGGGAGATTTTGAAGCTTGTGAAGTCCACATTGATACCATTGGGCTGCAGGGTTCCCAAGCGGAATAGGAGTTGCTGTTCCTGCAACCTTCGGGTAGCATCGTTGTGGCACTGCAGGAGGCCCAGGATGGACATGTCGTCTGAGGAATGGGAGGGGGGAGTTGAAATGGTTCGCAACTAGGAGGTGCAGTTGTTTAGTGCGAACTGAGCATAGGTGTTCTGCAAAGCGGTCCCCAAGCCTCTGCTTAACATTCAAAGTTTTGGCGAAGATCTGTACTGTACTGTAGCATTTTAGAAATCAGATTAAGATTAAAAGTCTGCATTCATGAACTTTTAAAATTGTTTTCTGTACTTGTTCACTATATCTAAACGTTTTTGGTACGAATACAGATCAGCCATCATTGTGTCATTGAAAATCTGTATAAGAGGCATTCCATCCATTGTTTAAACGAATAGTGACCACAGTAAATAGTTATATTTCCTACGCAGATCCTTGAAAAGACACCAACAGTTGCATCTTGCAAATTGTTCTACTTGCCCATTACCTCCATTTCCTTCTCCTGCCTTTCAATCAAGTTTCTAACCAGGTTAATAATTTATTTTAAACTTGCTTCAACATTTGGCTAACAATCACATATGCTGAGCTTTAACAAATGGCTCCTGCAAGTTCATGATGAACATCCATGGACATTCCCTTTCTAATATTTCAGTCAACTCTTCTAAATACTCAATCTGATTCATCATATTCTGAATTATAGGCTTGTAATTTCCTGACACAGGATTTTAAGCTAATTGGTCTAAAATTCCATAGTTTTCCTAACACCTTTCTTAAATATTGGAGGTTGTAAAATTATGCAGTGTGAAGGAACAGTTCCCAAATCAAGAACTTTTGAAGAATATATTTAGGATTTCTACGATGATCTTCCCTATTTCTTTTTAAACCCTAGGTTGAAATCCATCTGGTCCCAGGCATATCACTCTTTTATCCTTTGTATCGTCCTCATTTATATATGCTGCATTTGTCAGATTCCACATGTATGCTAATGATACGTAGCAGCTGGTCAAATAGCACTTCCTTGTTCCCCCAAAACCAATCCAGCCTGAATTCTGCTGGCAGTATGCTACACCAAGTTTTAGTCATCCATTCATACTTGTCCTTTTTAACTCTCATTACTCCTTTTTCCCTCATCAGCTCCTATTTAAAATTCTCATGCTAGTTTCATGCTAACCCTAAATAATCACTTATTATGAACTGAAAGTACTTTTAATTCAGAGTATAGATCTTACCTTGTCCTTCTTGTCTTGCCTGGCATAAGGAAAGCAGGGTATGACTGCAGTGACACGGCAGGCCGAGGCAATTTTGCAGGCATTAATCATGATGAGTAACTCCATCAAATTATCATTGATTTCTCCGCAACCACTCTGTACAATGTAAACATCTTCACCCCGCACGCTCTCACCAATCTCCACGCTGTTGGGCAAGGATAAGAAAATTAATTAACTTTTCTTTTAGTTATGCAAAGGACAGTGCATCACAAACTGTAAACAGCATACATGAAACACTTGACTTATTACTGGCACACCTGAAAGGAGGCTGGATAGACAAGGGAAAAATAAATTTTAAAAATAACCAAGTCAACAGTGTCCAACTGCAAGCTCCCAAACCATCCCTGATTACATATCCAAGGGATGCGATCATCAGCATACATCTCTCACATAAAATAGCCAAGCAATTTAGCTGGAGCAGATCAAATTCTCAGGCTCTGCTCTGATAATAGTCCATAACTGCAACCCTAGCTCTGAACTCTCACCTACTCTAGTTTCTCTACCAACGTCCTGTATGCTCTGTGTCCATGAGGCTTGCCTAATCTGTCAATCCCAATTCTTTAAACAGCTAGCTATCCTTCTGGGTGGGGGGGCTCACAGAAATCTATAAAATTCTGACAGCACTAGATGGGGTAAATGCAGGATGTTCCTGATGACCGGGGTGTCCAGAACCAAGGTCACAGCTGAAGGATATGGGGTAGCCATTTAGGACCGAGATGAGTAGAAATTTCTTCACCCAGAGAGTGGCGAGTCTGTGGAATTCTCTGCCACAGAAAGCAGTTCAGGCCAAAATATTGAATGTTTTCAACAAGATAGATACAGTTCTTAGGGTTAAAGTGATCAAATGATATGGGGAGGAAGTGGGAATAGAGTACTAAGTTGGATAATAAACCATGATCACTTTGAGCATAGTCTGCCACTCAACAGGTCCAAATGGACTACTCCTGCACTTGTTTTCTATGTTTTTACATCTCCACATTTTTATGTCTCCCCTGCTCCCAGGTACTGTACCGTTCCACCATAAAACTCTCTCCAATTCCATTTTTGAAACTAATATTTCGACCTGAACATTAAAATTGCATTAGTACAGAAAAGGGTGCATCAGAGGTTTGTAATCAAACAATAAATGGGCAGAGACAAGAAAGAAAAGGAAACATGGCGAGTGGTGATCAAAAGGTAGGTGAACATTTTAGATTCCAGGAAAGTAGCACCGGAAATTAACACAGTTAAAGAAAGTAAGAAAACAGGATATGGGGTAGTGGTTGCAGGGCTGGGAGGTGGTTATACGAAAGGACAAAGCAAAGATAATGATTTTTAGAGTCAGCCATGTTAGTGGTCCAGGAACCAATGTAGGTCAGGGAAGAAAGAAGTGTTGGGGGTGAGCAACCTGGATATGGAGTAGCAGAGTGTCAGATGAGCTGACATTTATGGAAGATGAAGGAATGAAGTATTCAGCCTTGGAAAAGGTCAAATTTAGAGGTAACAAAGCAGTGCATGAGAGTTTCAGTAGCATATGGCCCAATACAGAAGGTGGAAGCAGGCCTAAAATTTTCCGGAATGAGAATCAATTGCATTGCAAATTGCCCCCATTCCCTGCTGCAATTTTCCAACTGTGAACTAACAAAACCAATTTGCACACAACACTGTCAACATAACAGCAAAACAGGACCCTCAGCTAGTCCAGCTGACAAGTTGCTCCCATTGCATGACCATAAATGATTAAATTTGGAATTTTAAATCCCATGCGTAACTTAACACACAGTGTTTTGCATGCGATTATAGTCATTTGCAACTGTCTTATTCAGTTTTCAGCAACACGAAGTATTCATGACAAAACAAACAGGGAAAATTAGACATCCCATTGTTTCTTAGGCATATGTGAATGTCTGAATATATATTCTTTGCATGACATTCAAATATTTTTGCCTCACAGATGTTAGGCCCTTACATTTTCAATGAGGGGCAGGGTAAGTGACATATAAGGGCACATCTTCAAAATTAGTCAGAAATTTGAATGTTCCTCCAGACTTCGTATCATTACTGATCTGTGCTCCTTTCCAGGAACAAAAGATGGCCAATGTCAGTGGCTTGGTTAACAAGAGCAACTAATAAGCTGCCTCAGGAAAACCAAAAGGTTTGCTAAGAGTATTCAGAAGAGGCCACAAACCCAACTTCAAACAAACCAGGGAACTCTGGCTTCTAGGGCACCAAAAGCATACCAATGTTTTTTTGGTTCCCCTTGACCCCAAAGGAGGCATACTTGCGCAATAATAATTTACAGGATTTTTTTCCCAGAAACCATATTAAGTACTCATATCCAAGCTCCGCTTATCCCACTTTTCTACTATGACCTATTCCTACTAAATTTCTGACCACCAGAACTAGACCCAAGAAGACCTTCCACATCAAGCAGATGTTCACCTGCACATCTGCTAATGTGGTATACTGTATCCGCTGTTCCAGATGTGGCCTCCTCCACATCGGGGAAACCAAGCGGAGGCTTGGGGACCGCTTTGTGGAACACCTACGCTCGGTTCGCACTAAACAACTGCACCTCCCAGTCACAAACCATTTTAACTCCCCCTTCCACTCCTTAGATGACATGTCCATCCTGGGCCTCCTGCAGTGCCACAACGATGCCACCCGAAGGTTGCAGGAACAGCACCTCATATTCCGCTTGGGAACTCTGCAGCCCAATGGTATCAATGTGGACTTCACAAGCTTCAAAATCTTCCCTCCCCCTACCGCATCCCAAAACCAGCCCAGCTTGTCCCCGCCTCCCTAACCTGTCCTTCCTCCCACCTATCCCCATCTCCTAACTACTAGCCTCATCCCACCCCCTTGACCTGTCCGTCCTCCCTAGACTGACCTATCCCCTCCCTAACTCCCCACCTACACTCACCTTTACCGGCTCCACCTCAGCCTCTTTGACCTGTCTGTCTC